TATATGTATATATGGTAATCTTTAATATAACACAGTATCATAAAATAACAAATGGGCCTTCTGAGCACATGGAGTCAGACTCACCGTTCCTTCCTTGGTCTGGGGGGATCCCAAACACAACCCTGCCCCCCTGCACAGGCCCAGGGGGAACCTTGGCATGGTCTGGGCAGGAGGGGACCCTGAAGTGCCAGCACCCACCATGGGCAGGACACCCAGCAGCACCCCAGGGTGCTCCTGCAGGCCCGGGAAGCCCAGCACTCACCACATGGCGTGCATGTAGGTGGGGGGCAGCCTGGGGCTGCTCACGGGGGTGCAGTTGTAGGACCTCATGATCCTCTCTGCCAGCAGAAAGTTCCGGAACAAGCTGGCCACCAGCAGGTCCTGCCGGAAGAGCTTCTGGAAGAGATCTGAGAGAGACGGCAGGGTCAGCACAGGCACCTGTCAGCACCTCAGGTGTGATGTAAAAAGGGTTCAGGACATCAAACCACGTCAATATTTTGCTCCAGCAAGGAGGAACCCCCAGCAGCTCTGCACGGATGAGATGACAAGCAGGAAAGGGAAATCCTGCCTGCAGAGCTCCCTCAGACACCATACATCCATCCTCCACTAACTCAAACGCTTCCTACCATGGGCTCTTTTTTGCCTTTTCTGGATCAAATTCCCATTTTGGTGTCTCATCTCAGCTCATCCTGACTAAGTTTTTGGAAAATTACTGAGGGAGAACAGGACCTCTGTGTGCTGTTTAATCAAGAACTATCCATCTGTTAACTGGCAGTGTGATGTGCTCATGAGAAGCCAAAATGAATCCTAAAAGATAGCAAATGTGCTCTCTTCTACAGGGCAGAGGAGAATTGATGCTGTGTGAGCATTAGGAAGAGCAGGGTTGGAGAAGTGTTTACAAATTTGGCTGCTTGTGCTCCAGAAGTACCAATTCAGAGCACAACAGGGGTGGAGAAATGAGGGATGAAGTTACTCATGGGAAACAAAACTGCCTTACCAGCAAAGAGGGGGAAAAAAGCCTTTATTCATGCTATTAACCAAGGCTGGAAGAAAACAGATTGCTCTGTACAAATTCAGTAAGAAAGAGAATTATTCAAGCTACAACAATTGTGTTAGCACAGAAAAACCCTTTCTGGGTTCTAATCATCAGGTCTCTGCAATGCTCTGGTAAAAGGAGCAAATAAAAACCTAACTAGCTTTCAGCTCTACCCTGATCTGCTCTTCCAGTTTCATTTTCTGCTCATTTCAGGCTCTCATGGATGTGACTCCTCATCCCCCTCCCTGCCCAGCCTCACCTCGGGGCAGCACGTTCCAGGCAATGGTGTCAGTGATGGCTGTGAAGATCCAGTTCAGCTCCCCCAGGGGGGTTCTCCTGTCGTTCAGCCTGCCAGGAATCCTACAAGGGGGAAATAAAACCCTTCATGAGACCCCTGTAACTGTGCCTTTCTCCTCATGAGGAGGTGCCAGCAACAGGATGAGGAAGTTTCAGAAACATGCAGCAACCTGCAAAGACATCCTGTGGGTTTATTCCTAATTTAACCCAATTCCCTTTCTGTGCCAGTTTTTAAATATCAGAAGTATCAGCACCAAGCCTTTCTATGGCCACTCACTCCTGACACATGCAGCTGCACCATCCCTATGTACAAACACAGTTCTAATCCAGCCAGAAATTACCATTTTATGAAAAATTCCTGTCTGTCTGGGTAGCAGAGGAGCAGCACAGATCTGTGTGCAGCGTTTGCTGATGGAGCCCCTGCAGCGAGCACGGAGAACACGAGGCCACAGAGGCTCTGCTGAGGATTCCCTGTCAATATTTGCATTGCAGAACAGCCTCTGCAGCAGAGCTCAGCTCCCCGGGCCAGGGGGCTTCCCTGGATCCAAGGGGGGAGAATCCATCCCTGCTGAGCCCCCCTGGGACACAGAAACCCCCTCTGACACCTTCCACTGAGATCTCCACAAGGGGCTGGAACTGCCAAAGCCAGGTGGCAAAGGCAAACCATGAATTATCACCTTCCACCATAAATAATAAACAGACGTTAAAACACGAGCAATTTCCAGCCCCTGACATTTGATAATGCTTCAAGTGGAAGCAAACATTAATTTCAGTCTCACGTTTGTTATTTGTGGTGACTTTTATGGATGGGGTGCTGGTGCACACAGCCTGGAGCAGGCTCACACAGCAGGACCTTCCCCACGTGGTGACATCCCCAGGGGCCCTTTGTCACCAGCCCCAAGGCCCAAGGGACCCAGCTGCTGTGCAGGGACAGGGACCTGAGCACAGCCACAGACCCTTCTGAGCAGCCCCACAGAAGGTTTCTGCCAGGAAACCTTCATTGAAAGAGGATTTAAGCTCCAAGTGCTCTGTGAGGCTGAGTCAGAGCTGCCTCAGCCCTCCAGTGACCTCTCCAGTCTCTGATTAGGACACTCTTGTAGCAGTTGGAAATTCATTAAAATACCCCAGCCATTGTTTGCTTTCCCCTTCTCGGGGGATTTTTGTTCAGAATTCCCTCCTTCTGCACAATGGACCCAAGCTGAAAATCCCAGGAGTGCCACAGACCATTGCTGGTGCCCTGAGAGGGGATTTGGGAGAGGGAGCCCAGTGCAGCAACAGAGATTAAAGCTTCTTGTAATCCTTGGCACTCAGTTCTGGATTCCCATTACCACGGATTTATTCCCACAAACCATTCCTTAGGATTTTCCCAAACTTTCTGACAGCAGCACAAAGCCCAGCTCACTCAGCAGCCACACCTCCAGCACAGATGATCTGAAGCCTTGGGATCAAAGAGAAAAGTGCCCCCAAGGCAGGAGGAACATGGACAGAGAGGCTGCCAACAAAAGTCTCGTCAGGTGGCAGCCAGAAGTTCCCAAATTCCCAACACTCCACCAAAATTCCTTTGTATTTGCTGTCTGGCTCCAGCAAAGATCTTTATTTCTAAGCTGAGGCATTGTTTGGCTTCATCTCAGATCTGGGATGGAAATGCACATCAGGATCCACCCCACGTTCCCTCATCAGGACATGGGCTGAGCCTGGATAATTGGAAATTGGAGCCCTTCAGAGAAGGTGCAGCTTCATTTAGCCTCAAAGGCTGCAGCTTAATTGCAATATCAACTCCTTCCCCAGCTTTAAAGACAACTGAATTATAAATTACAATATACACATAGGCAATCCAGGAATTATTCCAGCTCTGTCTCCAGCCTGCAATAAAAAAATCTCTGTTTTCCATAAATGATACAAGGAGCAGAGGAAGATGATGAGGTTTAAATATTTGATATCCACAGGAAGCTGCTGCTGGCACACACGTGTGCTGTGGCACAGACAGACCAAGAGCCTGAACAAAAACCCATTTCTGCCAGGAAACCTTTATTGAAAGAGGATTTAAGCTCCAAGTGCTCTGTGAGGCTGAGTCAGAGCTGCCTCAGCCCTCCAGTGACCTCACCACGTCTCTGATTAGAGACACTCTTGTAGCAATTGTAAATTCATTAACTTGCCACAGCCATTGTTTATGCAGTGGCCTGAGGTGGCCTGAGCCTCCTCCTCACCCCCAAACCGTGCACCCCTTTGGCACTGAGCCCCAGGGAAGTTTCATTCCTGCTTTCCATCTCCTCGAGGCCATGAGAAACCCAAAACCCAGCACATTTTCCCCAGAGCTTTCAGAGCCAGCAACACCCAAGAATGGTGAATCCTTTCCCTGAAAACCTCTCTGACACCTCCTCTGAGAGACAGGGTTTGTCTCTGCTCTGTCAGTTGTAAACTGTATTTTTATTTTGGTCCCATGAGTGTCCCTGAAATGCAGCTTTATTCACATTATCACTCCCTCTCCCCGGCTGAGAGGACAGAACCAAGTTTCCCCATATAAAATGAACACAATTAAAATCCTCAACCCTGCTGATGAACCTGGCTAACCCAGCACACCTCTGTGAAGGGCTGGCAGCACTGAGAGGCTTTTTGAACCCCAGCTGATGGCAAACATGCCAAAATGGCTCAGGCAATGGGAGCTGCTGTGATCTCACCCCATTACTGCTCAGGACCCTTGGCAGCTCCATTCCCCCTCACTGAGCACCTGGGAGCTCTGGGATCACCTTCCTGCTCAGAATTTACACTTACACCCACAATTCTGCTCCCCTGACCCTTCCAGGACACAGCAGTACAGTTAAAGCTTGACTTACTTCTCTATTAAATCCAGCGTGACTCCTGGCACCAGCCTGACACTCTTCTGCATGCAGAACCTGGGGAGAGACAGTAAAACAGAGCTCACTAATTGAGTGCTTAACGACCAGGCTCTGTGGGGAGGAAGCAGAAGGAGGGCTCTTCATTGCCCTGCTCCTGCCTTTAAAATGCTCTTTGGGCAGGGAACTTCAGCAGGGTGTGATCAGAGCCAAGCCAGGCCCTCAGTTTGTCACCCGTTTGTCACCCTGTTGCTTTTGGGGCCGTTTCCTTCGCCAGGTGTCACAACTGGGCCACTGTAGCTGTCAGGGTGACAAAGTGCTCCAGCACACCAGGGAGGGGGAAAAGGGCTCATAACATCCAGCACAGCCCCTGGGGAGAGCAGGACAGAGCAGGGAGGTTGTGGTTGTGCTGCTGGGATGATGCTCAGCTGGAATAGTCCTTAGCCTTGCCTGGGCTTCCCTGGATTAGGGCACGGGAGGCAGAGGAGGAACACGTCGGGTTCAGACACCTCTGTTATTTCATTAAAAAAATCTGCTGACTCCATTTGCTCAGCCTTACAAATCCCACTACTCCAGGAACAGCAGCCCTGGAAATGCAGCCCTGTCAGCAGCGCCTGGAAAATCCCCAGAGCTGCTCGAGCAGAGTGTGTGGGCAGGGGGGAGCTGCCCCCTCCTCCAGCCCCTCTGGGAGCACAGGGCAGCACTGGGAACACAGCTCCAGGATGGAAACCCTGCAATTCCAGCTTGGAATGGCTTCCCTCACAGCTCCAGGGTGGAATTCCTGCAATTCCAGCTTGGAATGGCTTCCCTCACAGCTCCAGGGTGGAAATCCTGCAATTCCAGCTTGGAATGGCTGCCTCTGAGAGCCCCACATCCCCAGCCCCTCAGGAACCCCCTCACTGCTGTTGGAGGAGGAATTTGCCCCTCTGTGCATCTCATTTCCCCCTCTCTGGGACACCAAGGGCTCAGCTGCCCAGCAGCCCCATCTTCCCCGAGCCACATTATCCATGTCCAAAGGTTTTCTCCCGAGATCAAGGGGAGAACAATTATTTATTAAAAACAGGACATGCAGAGCTCATTTCTGAGATCCTGAGCACCACTCCAGTTTCCCTGTGGCATCCCCTGCCTGAGGGGGCATTCACTGGAGCCCAGGCTCTGGAAGCTCGTGGTCCCCAGGCTGTTCTCCTGATGTGTGTGTCATCCAGCACAAAGAGAGGCCATAAAGATCCCAGGAACCTGCACTGGGATCCCTGTGCAATCTGCTGAAATATAAAATTCTTATGACAGTGCATTACAGAGCCATGCAGGGAAATTCTCTCCTAAACAGCCCCAGGCAGCCTCAGGCTGGCAGAGCCAGGTCTCTGGAATGAAGCTGGGGAGTTTAACCCTTCTGGGGGTGCCTGGAAGGACCATGAGAGCAACACAGCTCTGCAGGGTGACATCTGCTGCCCCCAAAGCAGGGTGGTGGCCCTGGAGTGTCCCAGGCCAGCTTGGAGCAGCCTGGCACAGTGGAAGGTGCTGACAGTCCCAGATTAAAGAAGATAAACCTCAAACTCCAGGTCAGACAGACTTGGACACCCTGGGACAGTGGGAAGTGTCCCTGCCCGTGGCAGGGGGCGGCACTGGATGGGTTTTCAGGTCCCTCCCAGCCCAAACCCAGCAATGGTGCTCAGTATCACGGGAATAGTTTGAAACCCAGCGTAGTTTGTCTAAACCAATGTGGGACACAGGATTAGCTGAGTTAACCCCAAAACCTCAAGCAGAAAAGCACAATAAATACATTAGGGGAAGCCCCACAAAACACCTTAAACAGAGCAGCAGCAGGCACAGCTCTGATCCTTTCCCATTCCCTTCCCATGCTGGCTGTGCCTTCTGCAGGACCCAGTGCCCATCTCCACCTCCCCAGGGCTCTGCTCTTTGGGGCTTTTCCAGCCCTTTGCAGGATCCCACCCCTCAGTATGGACAGGATCTCACAGCCCCCAGGCCCTGAGGGCACTGAGTGTGTGGCTCAGCTCGCTGTCACCTTCCAGGAGCGCTGGCACATGAGTCAGCCCTGAGCTGTGCCTGCAGGGCAGCTGCGTAAAGCAGAGCTGCACAGCCAGATCTGTCAGGATTAACAATCCCTGCAGTAAAGCAGAGCTCCACAGCTGCTCAGCAGCCCTGCCTGCCTCAGGATTAACAATCCCTGCAGCTTAGCCCCCAGCCTGCCTCACCCACAGCTTTATATAGCTGCAGATCTGCGTGCACGCACAAGGACAGCGAGCACCCACACGGGCAGGGCACCCTCCAGGCTCCCGGAACTGCAGCTGGCACCAGTGCAGCTCCCTGCCCCACATGCCAGGGCTTGGCTGGCCTGTGCTCCTCCTCCCAGCAGCAGCTTCACCTCCCTGGGATCACACAGGAGTGGCTGCAGCTGCAGCCCCAGCTGATGAGGGATTCTGTCCTTCAGTGACTTTGCTACAGAGAACAACACGGGATGGATCAACGTTTATCCGAGCTTCCACTTGCCCATAAATTCCCTGTGTGAAACCTCATTAGAGGGCCGGTCTGGAGCTGCACAAATGTTCTATTTCAAAAGCAGTTCCACAGGGTTCTGGGTCAGCTTCAGGACAAGGGCTGAGATGAAGGAAAAGGGAAGTTTTAATGGCAAAGGTCTCTGTGTTGATTTTTGGTTAACCACAGCTTGGCTCAAACCCTCAGAATGCAGCAGAGGGTCTGCTTTTGCATTTGCTGTGTTTAACATCAGTAAAAACCAATGATCCACAGCAGCACTTATTATTTACAGGACTGCATGGATAAAACCACACCTGCAACAATGCCAATCACCTGGGAGCACAAAGGAGCATAACCTTCATCAGAGAATGAAATTCCTTAGAGTGCAGTGAACACCACGCAATCACTGCAGTGGAAATGGGAGGAAATTCCTCACTACCCAGGAGCTCCCTTGGCACCTTGCAGCTGAGGCTGAGGTGTTTAAACCCTTCCCTGAGCAGTTTTACAAACACCTTTCCTGTCAAACACAGCTCAGAGGATCTCCCATGCAGGTGTGGCCTGTGCAGAACCTGCCCTGCTCAGCCCCTCAGCCATGTTCCCATGGAGATGAGGAACAGGAAATTCCTGAGCAGATCACAGCATCCCCAAAAAACCTTTCTCAGCATAGCTAACAAACAAAACCCACCAGAAAACCTCTCCTACAGAACTTCACATACCCAAACCTGAGCCTGGCCACAGGAACTCGCTCGGTTTGCTGCTGATGTGAAACAGAATTGTGACTAATTACAAATATCCCCAAAGGGCAGTGAGTAACTCTTGGAGCTGTGGTGACAATTCCTCACCACCACCTGCAGTGTCTGCGCTTCTGCCTGTTCAAACCTCATCCAGCAAATGCCCTGACGTTTTTCCAGTCTGGACCAGGCACAAACTTGAGAGGAGCAGCTGGAAGGGCCTTTGGGAATGGAGCCTTTGGGAATGGAGCCTCTGAGCTCAGGTCCCTGGTGCTGGGTGAGCTCTGCTCTTGGAAGGCTCCTGCCCTCTGGAGCAGCCTTTTCTACCTTCCTGCCTAATTAACTTGGGCTGTCATTCCAGAACATCTTTCCCTGGTTTATCACTCCCTTCCTCTCACTCCAGCACTGTTTAGAGCTACTGCATTATTTACAGCAACTGCAATATTTGGAATGTGATTTGTGCAAAGGACACTTTGCAGAGAGCTGTATTGCACTGTGTACCATCCCTGGTCTCTGAGGAAGCAGATATTTAATTCCCAGATCAGTAACCCCCTTAATCTGAGCAAACCTAGATATTGAGCTGGAAACTAAAACACAATAAGTAGAAGATAACAATATTTTCACCTTTCTAGCTCTCATTAATAAGCCTCTGTCCCCAGTGCCCTGTTCAAACCCCGCTGTTCAATATTGCAGGGTTGCTCTGGGTCAGGAGCAGCTTTTGTACCCCAGGCAGGGGCAGGGGGAGCTTTTAGGAGCAGATTTTGTGTTCCCCAAGCCCAGGCAGGGGACAGGGGGGTCGGGGGGTCCCCACTCACCAGCGCAGAGCAATCTTGATGGGAGTGGTGAGGCAGGAGGTGAACAGGTCTGCAGGCAGGTCTGGGATCATGGGCAGCAGCTCGTTGGCCTCACAGGCTGCCAGCTGGATGCAGTTCTTCATGGAGGGGGGCAGAGGCATCTGGGCAAGGGGGTGGTTGGGGTTGATGGCAGCCACCTGTGGAGAACAAGGCAATTCCCCAGGGGGAGTCAGGGAGAGGTGCCAGAGTGGCAGCACCAGCACAGCTTTAACTCACACCTCATTAACTCAACTAAGTCCAGAGATACCCCATAGACCAAACCTCAGTCTATAAAAATGCCCTACAGACCAACATTCCCATTCTCCAAAAGCACAGGGATTCTCCTGTTTAAGATTTTGACAAAGAATATGATCTTTAAGACTAATAATTCAGGGTGTGAAAACATCAATAATCTTCCCAGCACCTTTCTGAACCAGGTAAACAAAGTGAACTTCAGCCACCAAAGTTTCTTTCCAACATTTTGCATTTTTTTTCATTAGGGCAAGATGCGGAATCAGGAGGTGAGAATCCCTCTGGCAGATTAAAGGAAGAGCAAACTCCTCTGATCTGCTTGCAGGGAAATGGGGAACAATTATCCTGATCACTCTGGCAGCCCCTCTGGAGCATGAGCTGCAGCTTTGCTTCACTCTTCATGAATTTGAACAATTGGATAATTTATAATTTTCCAAATGAATTCCCCTGCACGCTCTCGCGCCGCTGTGAGCGGGGCTCTGCTCCCTGCTCCCCACCAGCAGCAGCCCCAGTCAGGCACCAGGAGTTAATGAAAGCTAAGGACAGAATGAAAAGCAGACACATAACCCTGGAAGTGTTTTCATCACCAAATTAACTGGCAGTGTTAACCTGTGCTGCAGCACTAAAGCAGCTGTCCCGTGGAGCCTCAGAGCATGGGAAATCCCAGGGAAGGTGGAATGGAATGTTTGTTGGAACAAAGACTCTGTCACTCGTGCTCATCCTCCTCCCCTGGCTGGATTTGCAGAGGTTTCCCTGCACAAACTCCACCTGAGCCCTGGATCTGCCTCTCAGAGGGGTCCCTGGGGCTGCTGCCCCCTCAGGAGCCTCCAAGCCCTCAGCACCAGCCCAGGGCAAAAGGAGCTTGGTGAAGAGAGCAGGGAAAGGGGAGGTGAAGTCAGACCTGCTCAGCCTGCTGGGGAACAGAATGAGAAACCAACCCACAGTGCTGGAGAGAGCATTGTACCCACGAAGGAGAAAGGCCCCAAAATATCCCAGTGGAGCCCCAGGCTGATGGGGAAACCTGGGGAAGGACATTCTGACCCCCTTCTCTGACTCCTGCTCCAATTCTGTTGATCCTGTCTGGCAGTTCCATGTTCTTCCCAAGCCACAGACCATGGGAACTTTCTCCTTGTGGAATTGTTTTATGGAAGAGAAGGAATAATGAAATGATCTGTATATCCCAGGCTATCAGGCTGTGTTCTTCAGTACATTGGAATTTCCACCTGCCAAAGAGCCCCCACTAAAGCATCTCCAAAATCTGGAATTCCAAAGGAAAGAACTGACAGGCAGGGACACCTAACATCTGTTTGGAGGTTGTATTTGTGACATTTAGTTGCCTGATTAATTAATATTCCTTCCTTGACGCTTTGGGGTTGCTAATCCAGTGTCCTAGAAGTGTGAGAAGTGAATCTTTACAAATGGGAGCTACAGGCAGCAGGGGGGAGGCTGCACAGAACATTCCAACTCCTTCCCTTCCACTCTGCATTTCAGATTTGCTTCAGTAAATTTATTACTAATTCCATTTGCAACCAAAGGCAGCTTTTCATTGGGAACACATTCCACACTCTGCAGAACTGGAACCACCAGGACAATCCCAGTGTGGATCAGGTTTTTGTTCTTCCACATTTTTGCATTCACTTCAACACCACAAAACCACAACTGCATCAAAATACAGCCCCAGATCCCAGAGTTTTGCAACCAAAAAAATGATGTCTTGTTCACCTCAGCATTCATCTCAGCAGAAAAGACCATTAGGGCCCAAATTGATTCTATTAACATTAACATTTAATTAGTGCTTGTATTAAAAATCATTCCAAGTTTAATGGGATAGCAAACTGAACCAGAAAGATCAGAGTGGCAAAGTTATTTGCAAATTAATTTGCCTTCCAACACGGTTTTAAACCCATTTTTCAGTGTACACAGCAAAGCAAGCTTGAACTCCATTTGTGCTGAGTGAAGGGCAGCAGGCTGAGCTCTCACCTCCAGCTCCTGCTCTCTCTGTAGTGCAAACTGCTTGAAGGACTTGACAATGAGGCCGGCGTTGGAGCAGTCGTAGACGAAGATGGAAGGGCTCCCCATCCAGGTCTGCAGGTCGTAGATGGACAGGGGGATGTACTGGGTGTAGTTCTGCAGGGGGAGAGCACAGGAAAGCACCACTGCAGTCACCAGGGAAGGAGCAGGGCTTGGACTGCGTCCACAAAACCCAACACTGGCTTCACAAAACCCAACTCTGAAAGCCCAACATAAATCCTAGATTGGAATTATTAATGACTACAAACCTCAGTCAGGATCTGCCAATAGTGAGGATGTGAGCCCAAGTCAACACAAGCAACAAGCAGATTTTATTGTGGCATTATTTGAAACGCCCAACTCTTAAAAAGAAAAAAAAAAAAGCCAAAAACTTTGCCAAGAGTTTTCAGTATCAGATATTTAGAGCTGTGATGTGTGCTAACAACTCCAAACAGCATTTAATAGTCCAATTTTATCCCAAATTTCTGCAACACTGATAAAGGATGCAAACCAGCTGTCTTTAATTTAACATCAAACATCTTAAACTGAAAACCCCATCAATAAATCAGGATGGCTAATTAAGCCCCTGCAGCCCATCAGCACTACCCCGCCTGAGCCTAACGAGATGCTTCATAATTTTATTACAGCTTTAGCTTCTGTGCAACTTTCCAAATTATCCATTAAAATTAAAACCAACAAAGCTGCCTTCAACAGAGTGAGGTGCCCACAGTTCCCTTTCTGGAAATAAGGAGGATCTTGTTCCTTGTCTTCCATCTTAATGAACGCCCCCAAATAACTGGAGGCAAGAGGATAAAAATCAGCCACTTAAAACCAGTTCTGAGGAGCCAGTCCTGGACCAAGTGAGCTGAAAATATAAACCACAGATTCCTGCCTGCAAAGAGTCAGCACCAAACAGCCAGTGGCTGCCAGCAGGATCCTTTTCAGCTGCAGGCACAGAGCAACCTGGTGTTCCTCCAAGCCTGAGCTCAGCCCAAAATCCTCAGGAAAAGCTGTGATGTTCCTATTAACATCAGCAGGATGATGGATGGGATCATAACTCTCATTTAAATTCAAGAGACTTAAAATAGCTGTAATAAAACCAGTAAACTTTTTACAAAAATCAAATTTTCAAGGGCACGTATCAGCGTCGATAAAGACAGGAGGTACCATAAACCATGTGTTATGCAAGGCAGGGAGGGGAAAGGCATTTCCAAACCCCAGCTTTGCCCATTTGTAACAGTTTGGGTTGGTTCATTAACATGAATAGGGAAATTTGTTGATAAAAGCTGAAGTTTTAGGGAGCTGGAGCTCTGCAAATCACTGTGGGGTGGGATGAGGTACAAACAGCCCGTCCTCAGCACAGCCTTTCCTAAGGTCACCCCTCACGTGCAGCACACGCCAAGCCCAGGAAGTTCCCCCATAAAAACCTGCTCTGACACATCCCATCAAGGGCATTTTATGGGCAGGCATTGTTTTACCTTTACATTTCCAAGGCATCTTGCTCCAGCTATGATCAGATTATAGCTCTGATTAATACTGTGGTATTTCCAAGCAGAAGAATTTTATGTTCCAGCTCCACTGTGGGGGTCACATAAACCATCAAATTTGCTAATGATATGTAAATGAGGCCGTTTGAAGCAATAAGGGGTGTTAAAGCAGAGTGGAAAGGTGATGCTTTGGTGCTGCTGCCACCCTGGGCTGGACACACAGTTTGTTCCCTAGAGGAGAAGTCTCTGCTCCAGCACTGCCCCACCATCCCTCTGTGCCCCTTCCCAAAACCACAGCTCAGCTGAAAACTGCAGGTGAACAGATTCCATCCCCAGTTGTTTAATGAACAATCAGAGATACTGAAAATTTGCAGAGAAGCTCCTCAAAATGTCAAAATAAACATAACTGAAGTAGGGGCAGGTTGATTTTTTCTCCTTTTGAAGCCACATTGAGATTTGCTTAGGAGACGACAACTAAACTAGAACATACTCCTTACTGATCCAACAACACCTGCAAAACCAAGAAATCTGTCCCATAAGAATCTGTGAAGAAAATATGTAAACATTTCTAGAAAGACAAAATTTGTTATACATATACAATAGCCCTTACCAACCAATAAACTGAGCTTCACTGTATTGCTCACCAATGAAGTTTAACAGGATACCTTCTAAAATTTCCTATAAATTCATTACAGCTTTAGCTTCTGTGCAACTTTCCAAATGATCCATTAAAGCTGCCTTCAACAGAGTGAGGTGTCCACAGTTCCCTTTCTGGAAATAAGAAGGATCTGGTTCCATCTCTTGTTCCATCTTAACGAACACCCCCAAATAACTTACATTTAGAAACATAAACAATGTAAATACAGAATGGGCTTTTCCTTCATGAAGAAGCTGAGTCCTGTCTGGTTATTATACAAGTGAGGGTGGGCAGGCCCTGGCACAGATGCCCAGATTTGCTGTGGCTGCCCCTGGATCCCTGGCAGTGCCCAGGGCCAGGTTGGACATTGCGGCTGGGACACCCTGGGGCGGTTGGGGTATCCCTGCCATGGCAGGGGTGGCACTGGACAGGCTTTAGGGTCCCCCCATCCCACAGCAGTGCGGGTGCAGGAGTCCCAGGCTGCAGGGCTGGCACACCCACCTTGTTGAAGACCCAGATCTCGCCGTTGACGGTGGGCCGGGGCACGCCGTGCCCGTTGTAGTGGAACAGCACGCGCTCCTCCTTGGCGTTGCGCCGCAGCGACGTGCACAGCTTCTTCACCTCGTCCACCGTGGGGTCCAGGCTCTGCTTGTACCTGGCCTGGGACAGCAGGGACACGGTCACTGCTCACAGCCCCTGCTAGTGGGGGCTGCAGTTTGAGCTGTTGTACTCCCAGAGGCTGCATTGGTAAATAACTCTGAATTTCACATAAAGTGTCAGCAGTTCTCTCACAGCTCAGTCACACAAAACAATCCTTTTCCAGCCCCAGAACCAAGGACACCGCTGCAGCTTCAGTACAAAAAGTGTCAACAACAAAAAGCCTCAAAATGCCCAAAAAGTGTAAACAACAGGGAATTGAGGATAGCAAACTGGGAGGGTGGGATTGCAAAACCTGGAGCTGTAATGGGACAATGAACCCCAATATGCACACATGGAGCAAAACTTATAAAAGTGTGAAAAGCCGTGACCCATCATCCATCTTGGGTGCAGCCCTGGCTGGGCTCTTGTGCTGCCCAAGGTGGATCCTTCGAGGCATTTCAATAAATCCCTGCTTTATTCTTTAACTCTGTCCAGCCTCTGCTGCAGGTACCCCGCACTGCCAATGCTCTGTGTTTCCTTTCCCAAAGCAGTGTGGACAGGAACTGGCAGCTTTGGGAAAGCAAACACAGACCTTTGGCAGTGGGGCTGGACAAACAAAGTGTGTCTGCTGCTGTGGGACCCATACACACCAACAGCATGGGCTGGAGGGAGCTCAGCACAGCTCCCAGCTCCCACCCACCCCACTCATTTTTCAATTATTAACATTCAGAAAGCCTTAGGAAGGGGAAATCTGTTTCAACATTAGCCAGTCTCACAAGTAGCCCCCTAATCCTCCAATTCACACCCTCTGCACCTCCAACTGAATAAATTCCCTCTCTTGACGAGAGAAAATTGTATAGGTCAACACCATTCTTGAGACAAAAGGCCCAGGAATTTGACATTCACCCAGTTGGGTAAGAAGGGAGAAAAGTGATGGAGAGCCATTGGAAACTGCCCTTTGCCTTGGTTAAATCTGCTGTATTCCCCCAGCTGTGCCTGTGGACACCCTGTTACTGCTCCTGTGAGCACTGAACTCAGGGCACTTTGGAGGATGGAGGGAAAATCAAACTGGCAAAAACCCCAATGCTTCACACCCCTTTTAGCTTGGCTCAGTTCAAGACACCCAGGTAGGAGCTGGTTTGTCATGCTCAAAAGTGCATTTTTTTGAAGTAAGGCCAAATAATAACTGAAAGTCTTTCAACTGTCCTTTGAAAGACAAAAACCTGGCTCTTTCTGTCTTCTTTCAGTCTCTGCAGAGACTGAAACCCCAGAATCACAATAAAAACCTTCAATCTGATGTAGTGAAATAAAGACCCAAGTTTAAGAGCAGGACAAACACACCTCTCCAAGAGCTGCCATTGGGAGCCTGTTTATAAACCAAAACTGCAGAAATTTGGGCTTTTTAGGTTTTTCTCTGCGACAGCCAAAGATGAGAAAATGTTAAAATGTCACAGGAAAAGAGGATGAAGGACTTGAATTGTTTATCTGAGAAGCCTGAAGAGCAGATACAGTGCTGCTCAATTAACAGTCAGAGTCTCCAGGCAGCAGGGGAGAGGGAACAATGAATGGCAGCATTTAATGATGGCAACACCCAAGAAAAGCAAGCAAAAGGAGGAAAAATATGAAGCAAGAAGCAGTGATGTGACACCCTCATCCTTTCTGGGAACCTCAGCACTCAGGAAAGCCCAGAGGCTGCATTAATCTTCCCACCTCCTCCTCTCTGCACTCAGAGCAGTGATGAAGACACTGATTTGCAAAAATGTGCCCCTTAAATCCCAGCCTGGCTGCTGGCAGCTTCAGCAGGCACCCAGAGCACAGTGCTGGGGAATTTCAGCTTTTTTCCCTCAGGAGAACAGGCTCATTCCATCCCTCCTCACGTCCCTGGAGCATCAATATTAAACACAGCTCGCAGTTAATGGAGGTGGATTCAGACTCCAGAACTAAAGTCTGTAGATCTCAATTTCCACACTGCAAACAGATCATTTGGGCCTGGAGAAACACGAGGAGGAGGGAATGGAAAGGAGGGAGGGAGCTGTGAATAAGCACAGTCTGAGCCCTGGTGCCAGCTCAGGACTCAGGTGGGAGTTTTAGCTACGACAAGAACCAGGTATGTGAGTAACACACCAGCCCAGGTGCTGCCTTTTCTGGCTTTTTCTTTCCCCCATCATTATTCCTCTTCCTTCCCTGTCAAGGTGCTGATTCCTTCCCCTCCAGCTCCTCCTGCCCCACTGGAGAGGCAATGACCTGGTGGCCTGATCAGGAGATTCTCATTATTCTGCTCACACAGCAAAGTCAAAAGTTCTGCTTGTGTATTGTCACATTTCTGTGCAGCACTCTCTGGTTTATCCAGCCTTGTCCCTGTTAATTTGTGACAGTGAGGATGCTGGTTTTTGAGACATTTCACCTCTCAGTGTTGGAACTTCAGGACTGATAAAACACTGTACTGATTTGCAGGAAATGGGAGGAGTTTCAATAGAAAGGAGTCCTGGCACCCAGACCAGGAAAAGAAACCAGTCTGGGGGTTTCTTTTCCTGGTTTGGATGCCAAAACTCCCAAGTGGTTCTCCTGTGGACATTTCCCATGTTGAATGCTGAAATGGGAAGGGAGATGGTGACACTCTGAAGCATGGTGTCAATCATGCCCTGACATCCCCACAGCATGACCTCCCAAATTACTGTTTGTTTCACAAGGGATTTACTCCTTTCAAAGGGAAAACGAACCAGCCAGGTGTTAGTGCCTAGCAGGGCACAGCAGTGACCTCTCCAACATAGAGGGGAAAATCTCCTTCAGTGGATCCATCAACTCCTGCCCCACTGGAATGTCAGGATGCACTGGCTGCTGAAATTCCCTCTGGATTTTGAGCTTAAATTACTGTCTCTGCTTTGGAAACTTCACCTAACGACAGGTTTGCCTTTAATTTTCAATGGACAAGACAGCGAGGAGGAGCTGCAGGCAGAGCCCCTTTGCCTGGCAGCCAGGGCTGCAGCAGATCCGTGGCTGTGCCAGTGGCTTGGCTGCCACCTGAGCCACCAGAAGCGGCTCCTCAGCACCTCCCCAGCCCAGCTCTGCACACCCTGCCAGGGACAGCTCAGGATCAGCTCCCTGAGGAGGAACAGTGCAGAGTGCCAGAGGTGACACAACAGGGGACTGAAGCTGCTGATGTTGCTCAAGTCTCAGTGGCAATGGAAAGTTCTGGCAGCCAGGCCAGGTTCCATCACCTCTGGCACTGCCCAGCCCAGCAGGCACTGCTGGAGCCCCATGGCTCTGTCAGCAGGGAGATGGACACTTTCCCCTTAAGAAAACATGAGGATAAACCTATTTTCTCATCAAAGCTATACACTTCAAGTTTCCTCTTTCATTCTCCTGCAGTCCAAGAGCCCAGTCTTTGTTGCAGAAGGACTCAGACCACAGCCTGTGTGTGATCCCATGCCAAAACCCCAACCCTGGCCCAGCAGACACAAAGTGTATGAAAAATGCATGACAAATGTCTCTGCTGGCATCCAGAGCCTCTGCTCTTCACAAGCTCTAACATCATCCATCCTCTTCTCATTCAGCAGAACAAATCCTGAAGTCACTCCCCTTTTATCCCCAAGATACCTTACTGAATGTGTTCCAAATTTATCCACAGAAGAAACTACTCCAACATTCAGTATTTCATACTGAAACTGCCTTTTACACCTCCTTGCAGAAGAAGGATGCTCCTACCCAGAATCCATAATGAGATATAAAAGCTTTATTTGGCTGGAGATGGGGTTTTTTTTAAACAGCTTCTGGGTGACAAAGAATCCCAAATGCAAGTGGCACACACAAGGCACTGCATGTGGTGAGTGAAAGAAATAAAGCAGAGGCAGTTCAGCTGCAGGGTTTGAGGTTCCAATG